TGTTGTCTAAATGACTTTACGCAGATGTTGTTGTCTAAATGACTTTACGCAGATGTTGTCTGAGTGACTTGATCCAGATGTTGTTGTTTAAATGACTTGATGCAGATGTTGTTGTGTGAATGACTTTGACTTGATACAGATGTTGTTGTGTGAATGACTTGATGCAGATGTTGTCGTGTGAATTACTTGATGCAGATGTTGTCGTGTGAATTACTTGATGCAGATGTTGTCGTGTGAATGACGATCCAGATGTTGTCGTGTGAATGACTTGATGCAGATGTTGTCGTGTGAATGACGATCCAGATGTTGTCATGTGAATGACTTTATACAGATGTTGTCGTGTGAATGACTTGATCCAGATGTTGTCGTGTGAATGACTTTATACAGATGTTGTCGTGTGAATGACGTGATGCAGATGTTGTCGTGTGAATGACTTGATGCAGATGCTGTCGTGTGAATGACCTGATGCAGATGTTGTCGTGTGAATGACTTTATACAGATGTTGTCTAAATGCTTGTTTAAAACTTCTCCTTAAAATCTATTTTTATCAGTTTTCAGATCCTCTTGTGAGAATAAGCAACAATTCATGACGTGCACTGATTTATTTTAAACTGTGGAGGAAAATGTTACATGTAAAATATTGAAAGATTAAAGTCCCACAATAAAGTTCATCCAGTGAGTGAAGAGATATTTTGCTAACAGACGGTGAACTTTGTCCTGAGAAGTGATTTTTGAAAGATGAATGTTTTATGGAACTCTCTTCAATTTCTTCAACAGGACATGATCCACATCGCCGACACGAAGGTCGCTCGTCGTTACGGAGATTTCTTCATCCGACAGATCCACAAGTTTGAGGAGGTCAGTGATGAGGAGGATGCAGCAGCGTCAACCTGTTCACCCTCACAGGGAAACAATCAGCCACATGGTTTTCTTTAGAGTTATTACTGGAGTTGATTGAGACGGACATTTTGGCTGCTGTGTATGTAGTCGGGAGCATGACTCCATGTGCGGGGGCCTTGGTGCTCCGCCCCTCTCTGGTGGGGAAGGAGCCTGAGACCAACTAGATCTAGATCTCAGGCTCTGACTGTTTGTGCCTACGCTGCAAACGGCAGTTCAGAGGATCCGGCTTTCTTGGAGTCCTGGGGGTGCTCCGGTGCCCACGTGGGTAATGACTGTCTGATCTGAACCCGAGCGGGTTCTGTTGTTGGACCCGATACGTCCCGGTATTGACCTAAAATATCGGCACCACGATATCGTCCGGGCTCGAGTTATTAATAAACAGCTCCTAAACAATCCTACGAATTTAAAAACTCTTTTTTTTTTCTACTTTGTCAGAATCGTTCCAAACGCTGTCTGTGCAACAGGTCGTTACACCCCCAGTCTGGATTATACCTGAGGTTAAAGGAGGCTAGGCTAATTCACGGCCTTCAGGCCAGATTATGAGTTTAATTAATCCCAAAGGGAAATTATTTCTTGTAACTCGTTTCATTAAGAGATGTTATAGATGCTGTAGGCAGGAAGGATCTCTTGTAAAGATCCATCCCACAGTGGATCCTAAGAAACTGTCTGCAGATCCGTCCACCCAGACTCTGCTGGCCTCTCTGTTCCCCCGGGCTGCAGGACCTCCCAGCTCAACACATTCACATTTATTCTGGCTGAGTTTCATGCAGGCGGGTTAATTTGGCCTTTACTAAACTTTAGCTTTCCTTTGGATTATTTTAATCTCAGCCCAACGTGGTGCTCTGCTTTTACATCACTTTGTTTTAGCAGTAAGGTAATAAAACCTCTTCCTGTCGTTCTACAGCTGAACAGGACTCTGAAGAAATTGCCCGCCACCGGGACGACGACGACGGCGGCGGCGGCGTCAGGGGGCGCGACGAGCCGATGAACGTGACTCGAAGACGACCCGGTGGACTCAGAACTCTTCAACTTTTCTAACTTACCAACAATAAAAGGGTCGAGCTCCTTCAGACAGTTCCTGTTCTTGACCAGCAGGTGGCAGCACGTTTATTTTTATTTGTCGAGTCTCATCCCACAACATAGTTCCTGAAAACATGTTCAACAAAAGTAAAATATAAAAAAATACATTTTGAAAACACGGCACTCGACAGAAACGGATCGACGCGTCACAAATACTCGAACGCCAAACATCCAACAGAACGTCCCACCGGCTTTGGCAGCCAGAATTCAATTTAAAAATATCTTTAGTTCATGTTTTGTAAAAACAAAAGTCAAACGGCTCATTTTGAGCGTGCACGTGGCAGTGTACAGTCATCTTTAGATCTATAAAAATGGTACTTTTAATCATTTTCATTTAGAAACTTTTTTCTTCTCAGTCACAAAAAAACAACTTATGAGTAAAACGTCCGTTAGGAACAAAATGGCTGCCGTTGGGAGTAAACAGCAGAAGCTTCACTTTAGAATAAAATTATTGTCAAACAGCAAAATGTTTCTAAAGGAAGAACAAAAGTCGTCGACGCTGCAAAATAATTTTGTCCTCCTCGGAGTGTTCGTGGCCGTTTGCTGGTCTGGGTGTGTTCATTGTGTGTGTGTCTGCAGCCGTGACGTTGTTACGCAGAACGAGGCGCCTCTGATGGTTCTCAGGTCATGGCCCGGTCCGTCTCATCCGTGATGCACCGCTTCGTTTTTTTTACCGTACTGAAGACGGTCGGCCATCTTTGAGCCCGCTCTGAGCGGGTCGGCTGATGTCGCTCCTCAGACTGCACACGCTGATCCTCTCCGAATCGTACCGGGTCGGCGGTACGGAGGCAGGAGGACACACACGAGCCCCCCGGCTGCTGCGCTCAGACCAGCGAGGCCTCGGCTAGTCATAGCTCCGTGACTTCCAGCGGGCTCTCGGACACGCCGTCTTTGTGGCGGTGCATCGGGGTGGACTTGGCCGACTCGGTGCGGGCGTTCCGCTCCGAGTACAGACCGCCGTCGAGCGCTTCCAGGGAGCGCGCCAGGGCCCGCTGGTCGTCCTCCGGCAGGCTGTTGAGGTCAGAGGTCAGGAGGGTGCCCGTGCTGCCGTGGACCACGTGCACGCCTTCGGGCCCTTTCAGCTCCATGGGGAGTTTGTGCTTGAAGCGCAGCGTGCCGTGGCCGCCGCCCACGCTCAGGCGCTCGTCCTCGTCGTCGTCCAGGTCGCTCTGGATGAGCTGAGGAGGCGAAACAGAAAAACAGGTCGACCAAACGAAGACGAGTCTCACGTTTCAAACGTTTCATTTCAGGAACATCAGAAGGAAACGACAAAGCAGCAGAGAAGAAACACCTCAAAGTACAAGAAGTGAATGCATGTCGCCCGCCGCCTTTCATCTTAAGAGTTCATTTAGACGTCACACTCAGAGTGTTGATCGGGTTTTGAAGCAAGCGTCTCGTTTTTTAAACTAACGACGCGTTCCTCAGTTTTAAATACGAAACGGTGATTTGGTTTGATCACAGCTGAGCACAGAATTATACTTTGGTTCATTAAAGCTACTAAATGTCATTTAAGGTGCTTTTATTTTGTTAAATTCAACAACTTTTTATTTAAAGTAACAGCTGTGTTGAGTTTTGGTAAAAAACAGACGTGGGCAGAAGCTGTCCACATTATTCCTGAGGGTTCTGCCGTTTAAATCTGGTACAACTTCCTGTCAGACAGGAAGTAGCAGTGATGAACCATGGTAGCAGGGAACAGACCGCGGTTTATTTAAAAGTACATTACTTTCAGTTTAGCAGATATAAAACTGTTCACATTTATTTAACAACTGTAAAGTCGACTAAGTAGCCGTGCTGCGTTCAGGTACAAGCAGACCAAACTAAATCAGTGGCTACAACAACAGAGTTTGAACACGGAGCCAAAACAAAACGAGTGTTCCTGTGAAAACAAGTTTAGTTTCATCTCCTTCCTACAGATGAGGAATTAAGAAGAACGTGTCTGAACAACGTGAACTTGAAGAGAAAACCCTAAACTCTGTCTGTGAGCTCATTTCACTTTGTCGACAAACGACCGACGGAGGAAAACCTGCATCCTACTTTGTGTCTGGACGACAATAAACCACCGGAGAAGAGACGCCGGGTCCTCAGAAGGATTGAAAACAGTGACGAGAACATCAGGCATGATTTCAGGTGTATGAAGGTCACAGCTTTATATATTTGTTCATCTTCAGTTTTATGATTTTCTCTGTAATTAAGTCAAGTTCAGTGATGGAGGACTTTAAGACTTTGTCTCTGTGTCTGATTTAAGGTCAATAAGTTTGTGTCCCTCTTAATAAAAACTCCACTGACCTTATTACTGTGGAGACACTGAGACACCTCAGAGCTTTTCAGGTTGATCATCACTTCACCGTCGGAAGAACCGAGTCAGCGAAGGAGCTAAATATGCTGGTGTAAGTAGCTAAATATATGCTGGTGTAAGTAGCTAAATATGCTGT